CTTCACCCATCGTTTAGCTGACCTTGGGGGAGAGGGGGGAAGAAAAAAAAAACAAAAACACAACCCAAAAATGTTACAAGCTGCACCCAACTCCAGGGGCCATCCCAGCCCTGGAGAACTACAAGTGCCCCTCACACCACATCCCTGGGCCCTGGGAGAAGAGCACAGGGCCAGGAAGCCCTGACACAGCCCCCCCCAGCCCACAGCCCTTCCTGGGGAGCAGGGCAGGGGCTCTGACACAGCCCCCCCAGCCCACAGCCCTCCCCAGGGAGCAGGGCAGGGGCTCTGAGCCCACCTGGCAGACATGCAGTGCCAGGTCTGGGCACAACCCAGCGCTCAGCCAAGCCCCCCTTGGCCCCTCCTCGCTCAATACTACTTACAGCATATTACTTTTTTTCTTTTTAAAAACACATGCTCGTTTAGGAAAACAATCACCCTGGCACAGTCCAAGCATATACAGACAAATCTACTCTACAACACGAGGGGCTGCCAAAGGAATAGGGAAAAGCCTCTACTCATCCACTCAGCAGTTCCAGCACAGCCCCTTCCGCTGGGACACCCCGGCCTGGCCGGTGCTCCAGCTGCCGGAGCTGAGAGCAGGGCTAGGGGGTACCTGGCAGTTCTCTTCATACACATCTGGTCTTTCAGAGGTAAAAAACAAAAGGTTTCTTCCAAATCAGCAGGCAAATGGAATGCAGAAAGGGAGGGCACCTCCCTGCAGTCCCTGGCAGCAGCACCCACTGCCTGTGCTGCCTGCAGGCCAGCCCTCCAGCCCAGGACTCGTTAGGGTAAAACGAGTGTGGGACGGTCCCAGTCCCTTCGTGAGGGGCTCCCATTGCCCTGGGGGGGTGCTCGGGTCAATGTTATGCTGTGGCTGCCTCCTAAAGCCCCCTCCCCACTTCCCTGGGGCAGTGGGCATCCCTGGTAGGGCGGGTGGCCCTGGTCAGGGCTGGGACAGCGAGGGACCTCACAGGGGTTTGGGGGGGACAAGGAGAGGGAGTGGGGGGCAGGCATGGGCTGTGCACTCCCAGGAGCAGGGGGAGAGGAGGTTTTGTACCTCATAGTGTCACTGATTTTGAAGTCCTGGAGCTAGAGCTGAATGAACAGTAAAAGCAGGTTAAATCATTAACCAGTTAGGGGACGGGGAAGCAGCTGTAAAAGGAACAGAGGAAGAAGGCCAGATTATTATTATTTGTTTCTTTTCCTTTTTTTTTTTTCTTTTTGTTTTTGTTTCGTTTCGTTTTTCCTTTTCCTTGTCTTCTCTCATCTGGGCCCTGCTGTGCCCCCCATCACAAGCCCTGCTTGGCCAGGGAAGCAGACACTTCATCAGCTAGTGTGGCCAGCTGGGGGGAGTCCACCATGTTGATGCTGCCAGGGG